CCAGAATTAATCCTGACAGTGGGGGACCAAAAGTGGACTTCCTTGTTGGAACTCATAGCACTCACTTCAGGCCCTCCTGGTGAGGAAAGGGAAAAAGAAGTAAACATTTCAGCTTCCTGAAACAGCTGCCTTGAACCCTGCCACACTCCTCCCTGACGAGAAGGCAGAGGCCCCTTTGCCTGACTGCGAGGAGACACTGACTACCCTCACTTCCCTCCGTGAGGACCTTGTGGACCAGCCCTGCAGAATCCGGATGAGACTCTCTACACGGACTACGCGAGCAGCTTCATAGAGGAAGGTACCCGGTAGCAGGGGGCACATGAGGAGGAGCCAGGGGAGATCTAAGAAGCCCTGGTAAGCGTCCCGGCACTGGCCCTGCCGGACCTACACAGGGATATATCTCCTCACACTGCCCTTACAGGACACGGGAGCCACCTTAAAGAAGTCTCCTGACCTCAGGAGGAAAGGAAAAAGCTCCTGAGATACTTAACCACCTGGCAGCCATATAGGGGCCAAGGAATTGACTAAAAGACCAGTAGGGCCCCTAGAAGTTCTTGTAGCCCTGCCAGCACAAAGGCTCCCAAAGAAGTCTACTCATCTGCCAGAGGAGCAGAGGCTAGCTGAGAAACTAAGGGCCTGGGAAGGAGAGGCTGGATGGCTAATTCTGCCAGATGGGAGGCCTATAATGCCAGAAGCCCTGGGGCGGACCATCGCTTCCCAGACCCACCAGAGCAAGCACCCACCTGGGGGAATGAAGCTATCAGAACTACTGGGAAGAGAATTTTACACCCCAGGGCTCCAGGAAATATCTCAAGAGTTGGCTAGAAGGTGCCAAGTGTGTGCCCGGGTGAATCAAGGGCCCCCTGTTGTGGCTACGCCGGGGCAGTGATTCCGAGGTCAGAACCCCAGAGAACACTGGGAAGTGGACTTCACTGAGATACCAGGAGGACAAGGAGGGTATAAATACTTGCTGATTTTCATTAATACCTTTTTGGCTGGCCTGAGGCATACCCAACCAAGGCAGAGACAGCACAGGTAGTAGTTAGAAAACTACTCACTGAAATTGTCCCCCGGTTTAGCCTGCCACTATACATGGGTCCGACGATGGCCTGGCGTTTATCGCCAAAGTTACAATCCATAGTTAAGGCCCTAAGAGTTACTTGAAAATTGCATTGTGTTTATAGACCACAGAGTTCTGGACAGGTAGAGAGGATAAATTGGATCTTAAAGGAAACATTAACTAAGTTAAAATTAGAGACTGGCGAAAACTGGGTAAGTCTCCTTCCTTTTGCTCTCCTCAGAGCTGGGTGCACCCCATACATCCAAGGGCTAACTCCTTTTTGAAATAATGTTTGGGCAAACGCTGCCATTGGTGCCCAGGTTGGGGAAGGAGGAAGTCGCCCGTCTCTCTACCCAAAATTTGCTTAAGTCCTTACAGACTTTGCAGAGCAGCGCCACGTCAGCACAACGGGTGGTGAGAGCCGTATGGGAGGAGGACGTGCTGAGATCCAGTCCAACACAGCCTGCCTTCTCTCTGGGTGATCTCATCTGGGTGAAGCGCCACGACCCTAGCAGCCTGGAACCTAGATGGGATGGACCCTACCAGGTGGTGCTGAGCACTCCAACCACCATCAAAGTCGCAGGAAAGAGGCACTAGAAATTGTAACCCCGTCCTCCTCATGCCTCTCACCTGGTGAACTGACCAATGGGAAGAAGAAAGACATGGGAACTAAGACTCTATGTCAGCGGCCGAGACCCTGGCCAATTCTTCACCATCAAATGCCAGACTCTTCCCCGGCGGCTTGACCCCTACATTGCCAAATGCCTCCTCAATTTCATATCGTAGAGGAGGGCACTGAATCAAAGATTTGATTCGGACATAAGACCAGTAGGGAATGTGCTAGGGTGAGGGACTGCGGCATGGAAGGGTAACGGAATGTGGGAGGGGGGGGGACTGCGGCCTGGAAAAGGTTACAGATTGCGTCAGTGTCAGGAACCGTGGCAGAGAAAAATTGCTAGATTGTCTTAGAAAAACAATGTGTTATGATATGCTCCAGCCAAGTGTGACTCCGTTTACCTCCCCTTTGTGCTTATGAACTTTCTGTGAACTTCTAAGGAACAGCTAATGAAATGCCTTGTATTTTTTTAACACTGTTTTGCTATAAAGGATCATACTGCACCCTTGATCTCTGCCACATGCTCCGAATCTCCCAGAGGGGGAGATAGGTGCTGTGGTCAGCTGGCCAGCTTAATAAAAGGCTTTTAAATTTAAATTCTGAGTCGGTGGTCTATCTCGTTGAGCCAACCCATAACAGTAAACAGTCAAATTAATACAGCTGTCCAAATACTAGTAGTTCTCATACCTTTTAGAAGCATCTTCCTGTTTCAAGGTACTTGTCTGTTTAGTACCTAAAATCAAAAAACAAACAAAAAACAGGTCAAGTTCTACCCGAATACATTAGGTTCCAGGGCAGATTCCTGCCCAAATAAAGTACCATCTTTTCCTCTTTTCCACATATCCCATTTCCGATCCTGTGGAATGGGAATCCAATTTGTATTTGTAAATTAATGACTCCAGAACCGTTCCCGGTTAACATGTATCTCTTTCGGGGTTGAATTTTCTCTTGTAACATAGTTGCAGTGATGCACTCCTGAAAATCTGAGATATGGGTACTTTTAGGGGTAACCTCTCTCCGTCCCCCAAGTAATTCACTCCCGGGGAGGAGGGGAGGAGGTTCTCCGATACATACCGCCGGGAAGCGGGGCCCCAAAGCAGCTGTGCGACTGGAAGGAGGACCAGTGCCGGGTTCCAGGGCGGCTGCCCACGGGGCCCTGGTCACCTGCCCAGCCTGGCGACCCCAGCTCTAGGCCCCCGGGGCCTCCACTGCCCTCTCCCTCAGAGCCGGGGCACAGCCCCTTCTGGGACACCCTAGATCCTAGGGGGCCTAGAACGCCAGGGTAGGGAGCTGGGGGTCCGGCCGCAGGGTAAGGAGCTGGGGGGTCCGGCCGCAGGGTAAGGAGTTGGGGATCCGGCCGCAGGGCAAGGAGTTGGGGATCCGGCCGCAGGTCTTCCCCGGGAGGCGCGAGGCGGCGGTGGGCGCGCTCGGCCTTCTCCTGCCCTGCGGAGCCTCTCGGGGCGCCCCGCGCGCCTCGGTCCGGCACTCAGGAGGGGCCGGCTCTCGGGGTCCAGCGTGGGCAGAGGCCCTGGAGCCTACCTGCGGCCTTTCGAGAGGCGCGGTGGGCCCGGGCCTTGCGGCCGGCCCGGGACAGCCCGGCAGATTCGGCCATGGGGAGCGTCGTCAGGGGTTCCGTTCCGCCCGGCGTCCTCCCTCCGGAGCTCCGCCTCCCTAC